AACACCTCTCTCAGGTTCTTTAGGTGTTCTTCAAAAGTTTTTCCTACGACAATTACATCATCCAAATATACCAGACATGTCTGCCACGTTAGTCCCCTTAGAACTGCTTCCATAAGTCTCTCAAACGTCGCGGGGGCATTACACAATCCGAAAGGCATTACTGTGAATTGCCAAAGTCCAGAGCCTATAGAAAACGCGGTCTTCTCTCGGTCTGTCGATTCCATCCCCACTTGCCAATAACCACTCTTTAGTCGAGTGTGGAAAACCATTGGGCTCCAGATAGAGTGTCCAAGGTGTCGTCTATTCTTGGCAGTGGATAGCTATCTTTCTTGGTGACCGAATTTAACAGACGGTAGTCAACGCAAAATCTTGTGGAGCCATCCTTCTTCTTTACAAGCACTATCGGTGATGACCAAGGACTATTCGATGGCTCGATGACACCTTGTTTTCTCATGTCTCTAATAATCTCCTCAGCTTCGTCTCGTTTAGCCAAGGGGAGTCGCCTTGGCTGTTGTCTAATCGGTTGGGAATTGCCAGTATTTATTTTATGGGTGACTATGCTTGTCTTGCCCTTGTCCTGGTCGTTTACCGCGAACACATCTCGGAATTCCACAAGCATATTTTTCACCTTTTGTCGTTGTCTATTGTCCAAATCTGGAGTGTTTTTAATGACCATATCTATCAGCTCTCTTGGATACTTTCCTTTAGATAGATTTTCCGATTTCACAGAGCGAATAGCCGAGATGGGCACACACTGTCCAACTACAGTTCGTTTGCTTAGCTTAACAGGACTATCTTTCAAATTCATAATTCGAATCGGAACGCCATTTTGAACTTTTACCAGAGCCCTAGCCACTAGAAATTCCTTTTCGTTTAGTGCTTCGACTATCCGTAGGCTTCCCTGGCGACAATATCCATCTAAAGTGGCCATTATAATTTTTTCACTAAGTCCGGGTATAATGACGTCATGAGTGGTTAACAGGCGGATAACATCTTCTTTGTCTTCATGGAAAGGGAGTTCTTCATCGCCGACCTTTAACACGCCCTTTTTCACGTCTAACACAGCTCCGAGTTTCTTAAGAAGATCCATCCCCAAGATGAATTGATCAGAAATATCAGCAATTAGCACCTGGTGATTGATGGTGGTCTTTCCGATGGTGACAGACATTTGTATTTCTCCGTGCGTTTTTATTCTTTCACCAGTTGCTGTTTTTAACTGCACGGTCGAAGATGAGATCCGAGAATGATTCTTCAATAACTCTGGTCTTGCAATAGTTCTTGTTGCACCTGTGTCTACTAGCAAGGCTCTGTCTTCTCCATTAACTCGGCCGTCGATGTACAGACTCAGAACTTTTCCAGACGACGTAATGTTTACAGTGAAGATCGGGGCTTTGTTTCTGCAGGTCGACGATAGCCCCTTCCTGTCGACCTTTCTTAGTTTTCCGACTGCTGTAATGGTTTTTGGCAGTTGCGGCGAACGTGTCCAATCTCGCCGCAATTCCAACATCGTGGTTCACGTTTCTTTGCCAGTGACTGTATTGCTTTATTGATCTTTTCTTCCACTACTTTACTGACCTTTTCTTCAAAACTTTCAGAACCACCTTCCTCTTCGATGGTTCTTACCCGGCTGTCACTGCGAGGTTCCACCATACGTACTCGCGCACTTCCATGACTAGCTTTCTTGGCGGCTTCGAATTCTAACGCATGGGCCAAAGCTTTCTCAATTTTGTCGTGCCTAGCCAGTCTCAAAGCCTGCTGGGCATCTCCATCACGAACGGCATCGATAAATGTTTGTACAGCCAGTTGATCAAGAAAGCTCTCCGGTGCCGTAGGGTATGCCAATCGAATCAGTCTAGCGATGTCCGCTTCAAGTTCCTGCAAACTTTCTCCAGGTTTCTGCATTCGGTTCTTGACTTGGGCATAGTAAACTTGCTGAAGGTGTTTATCGCCATATCGCATTTCGAGTCGCGCTACTATTTGTTGGAAGTTCTGTTGATCCTCGGGGATAGTCCGCAACACATCCAGAGCATCTCCTCTCAGAGCAAGAATCAGGGCTGTAGTTTTGTCTTGAAGAGTCCATTTATTTGCCGCAGCCGCTGCTTCAAACTGTCGAACGTACGTGGTCCAAGGAATCTTACCATCAAAAGTAGGTGGTTTTATTCGGGCTTGCTGAACGTCGCCTTCTACTCTTGTATTTGTTTCTGAGTCGACCTTCTTGTAATGAGTAGACTGTGGCGCCTCAAGAAGACGGTCCATCAGTAATTCATCTGGGGCACTACTAGTACGCTCTTCCGTAGTCAGTCGCAAGAATTGCTCGCGTAGCTCTTCATACTTGTGCTCAATCTCGACGAATGTTGCTTTAAATGTTTTGGAAACTTCCGTAATTCTATCTTCAACTTTTTCTTCAATTGATTTAGAGACTTCTTCGATAATCTTTCTAGAATTTTCCTCCATCTTTTCGAACTTCTCGTCCTAGAATTCTTCTCGAACTTCTCTTGAATATTTCTAGAATTTTCTTCATTAATCTTTCTAGAATTTTCTTCTCAACTTCTCTTGAATATTTCTAGAATTTTCTTCATTAATCTTTCTAGAATTTTCTTCCATTTTCTCGAACTTCTCTTCAAAATTTCTAGAATTTTCTTCCATTTTCTCGAACTTCTCTTCAAAATTTCTAGAATTTTCTTCCAACTTCTCTTGGTGCTTTTCATTTCTTGTTGCAACACCTGTTGGCCATTTTGGATTTGCTGGAGCAAATTGAGCATCGTTTCTTCCATTTTAGCGGCAGCAGATCTTGTTACAGGCATACACAAGCACAAGCACTTAATTTAATCTTACTTTTAATTAATTTAATTAATCCCACACCTGACACCAATGTAACGTTATTTATAAATTCGGGTTCGATTTATATCAATATTTATTAAACAAAACTAAAACACTATAAAATCCGTACAATTTATATCGATTATTTATATCACTCACACTTCGCAATTTATATTCCCGCTCGATGTTTCATACGTACTTGTTCCGTAGTAGACTGCCGCGATGTTCGGTCCGCAACCATTTATACACGCAAGCAATGTAAGTCCAGTACATTCTCGAATACGCGTAGAAAATTCCAGAACGCCAAAGGCGACGTCATGTCTGCAGCATTTCCGTTACAATACTTT